CTGGTGTCAGACTGAAACGGAGCAAGGGCAAAGGGGTGGTGCCTGCATCAGCATCCCTGTGGTGCTTATGTGTTTTGGTCCCTTTCCTCAGTTTTGGCTAAGCAGTGTAGGCAGATAGTATATATGGGATCATCTGCCAACTCACAATGATCCCAGACCACACTACACGCACTTGTTTCTGGGATGCGGGTGCATGTGCAGATGCTGCCTTTTCCCCCTCAGCTGAGTCACTTGCCTCCACAACTGCTACGTCAACCTCCTCTGAAGTGCCTTTTGGGGAAGGAGACCCGGCTCTAGAGAAAACTTGATGGGTGTGGAGCACAAACTCAGATGATTCCCCCTCCTTCCCCATAACAGCCCTTGCTAGGGCACTCAGATCCAGATCTAGCTCCAGCTCTTTCTCTGGCATTGTAAGGTTCAGCATGGGAAGTGAAATGGGGGTGGAAGAAACTGTCATGCTGGCGCTGCTGCTTGTTGTCATGGTGGTGGTGGGAGGTGGTTATGGCTGGTGCTCTTTGAGGGGATGCAGACTCAGGCAGTGGCACTGCTCCCCTCTCCTTGCTGCCATCCCCTCTCCTTGCTGCCAGTAGGACCAAAAGGCTCCCACCTCCTGGTTATAGGAAAGAGGCTGTCTCTCAGTTTTGGGGGGGTGGGACTTACAGCTCTCCCTCTACCCGCTCTTCAGCCCTTCCCTGAAGGCTGTCAAGCTGCCTTTTCAGCACACAGTGTAGTATTGTGTTTGGTGTGCTGGAGAATCAGTGTATCATAGTGTGTTTGGTGTGCTGGAAAATCTGTGCGTTCTTCTGTAATGGAATATATATTTATGTAATATGTGTAGATAATTGTATGTATGTATTTATGTAATAAATAAAATATATAAATGTATGTATATAAATGTATGCATGTGCTCCTGTATAAATTCTATATTATAAATTGCAATATATGCTGTGCTTCCCTGCACAGCGAATGGCATGCACACTGAGAGGAAGCACAGATCTCTTTTCTGGGGGGGAAAAAAATCAAAATAGACTAACAAAAACAAAAAGAGGATTTTGGACGAGGATTAAATTGAAGGAATGAATATAATAATAAAGGGTGTTAGGAAAGCGAAAGGTATTGGGATCCCACTTGCTAGTAACAGGCTAGCAAATAGGAAGTGATAGCCTTTCTCTGATGCTGCTGAGCTGCTAGAAAACACGGCTCAGTAAACTGACCCCAAGGCGCAGAAAAAGCTCAGTTCAAACAATGCTTTTTATGCTGTTTTTCCATCCCTCCCTCAGAGCACTGGGATTGGAAGGGACCTCAGGCACTGGAAGGCTCAGGATGGAAAGTGAAATGGGGGTGGAGGATTCAGAAGTGAATCTATGAATCTCAGGGAAGGATCCCTTGCCAGCTACACGTCAATATCAGAGCAGTCCTTCCCCACCTTCCCCCTCCCCCTCCCTCTCCTTAGTTTCTCTTTACCAGCAAGTAAGCCCAGCTTCAAAACTCAAAACCTTTTGAGTGCCCTTCTTTCGTTTTGAGGCTGTTTCAAAGCCTTTCATTTCAATTTTGCTGTTTTGAGCTCAAAATGAGTCAAAACAAAACACCCATTGAAATTTTGCACAGCCCTACTAAGTACTTCTCAGTTGGAAAGATTTTGTACTGACATGCCTGCCTCAAGCCATTTAAGAGACAAACTGTAATCTTCACCTGTATCAGAAGCAGTAGTAGTTCTGACTTAATTTAAGCAGCATAGATGTTTTGAAACATATTTAACTTACCTTCATCTCTAGCCAACAACAAAACAGCAATAGAACTCTGCTATTCGCCTTCTCTTCAGCAATCAGTGCAAGGGCCACCGTGTGGACAATAAGTAGGTATCAATGCTTAAGGTACTCTGTGGGAAGATGGCTCACTGGCCATAAAAGCTGATATTCCTTACTTCCAAGCTGCTTGTAAGAAGTGTCTGTGGACTCTACTTCAGCCTGTTTTAGGTAGCTAGAAATATGAAGCTGCCTCTTTTAAGGAGTACTACTAAATTTAAAGTGAAAAGGAATAGAAACTGCTCTTGAAGTAAAGCTGTCAACGAGGGTAAAAGCTATCAGTATTTATAAAAGAATGAGGTGTAGTGCCCGAAGACTGGAAGAAGGCCAACGTGGTGCCTATCTTCAAGAAAGGGAGGAAAGTAGATCCGGCTAACTATAGGCCCAGCAGCCTGACTTCTATCCCAGGGAAGGTCTTAGAAACGTTTATTAAAGAGGCCATCCTTAATGGACTGGCAGATGCCAACATCCTGAGGGACAGCCAGCACGGGTTTGTTGCAGGTAGGTCTTGCTTGACCAATCTCATTACCTTCTACGACCAGGTGACCTATCACCTGGACAAGGGAGAAGAGATTGATGTCATATATCTTGACCTCAAAAAAGCTTTCGATCTGGTATCCCATGATCACCTCTTGGTGAAACTGGCCAATTGTGGCCTTGGGTCCACCACAATCCACTGGCTAGAGAACTGGCTCCGTGGTTGGACCCAGAGGGTGGTAATTGACAGAAGTCAATCATCATGGTGCCCTGTGATCAGTGGGGTCCCCCAAGGCTCTGTCCTTGGACCCATATTGTTCAACATCTTCATTAACGATGTGGACATTGAAGTCAGAAGTGGACTAACCAAGTTCGCTGATAACACCAAACTTTGGGACAAAGCATCCACAGCAGAAGACAAGGCTCCACAATTCAAAAAGGATGTGGAGGAGCTTGAGAGCATCCAGAGAAGAGCCACACGCATGATCAGAGGTCAGGAAAACAGACCTTATGATGACAGGCTGAAAGCCATGGGGCTCTTTAGCCTGGAAAAGCACAGGCTCAGGGGTGATCTGATGGCCACCTATAAGTTTATCTGGGGTGTTCACCAGTACCTGGGGGAATGTTTGTTCACCAGAGCGCCCCAGGGGATGACAAGGTCGAACAGTTATAAACTACTGCAAGACCATTTCAGGCTGGACATAAGGAAGAATTCCTTTATTGTCCGAGCCCTCAAGGTCTGGAACAGCCTGCCGTTGGAGGTGGTTCAAGAACCTACATTGAACACATTCAAGTGTAAATTGGACGCTTATCATGCTGGGATCCTATGACCCCAGCTGACTTCCTGCCCTTTGGGCCGGAGGCTGGACTCAATGATCTTCTAAGGTCCCTTCCAGCCCTAATGTCTGACATCTGTGAAATCTATGAGGTGGATGGCAGAGAAGGTGGCCACAGGACAGTAAACTGCAACATGAACTATTTTGGAATTCCTGGTCTACCAGGGTTTGGCAACATTTTGGAATGGGGGCACTGCTTTAACAGAGCTTAATTCTGCATATGAGTTGCTTCCAACCTGGCCCACTCCTCATACAAAGCACTTCTAACCCAACCCATGCCACCACCACTGCCATAGTCAAAGCTACCATGCTAATTGCTCCTGTCCTACTATGCTGCCACCACTTTTCCTGGCCTCAGTGAGCCAAATAAAATGTCTCCACATGCCAGATGAAGCCCACAGGTAGTAGGCTGCTGGCCCCTGGTCTAGACTAACGACTACTGGTCATCTTTACACACTGCACTTATAATACAAAACTAGAAAAAGCATATTACACCATTACATCTGATGCAGTCTAGTTCGTGTTTGTGTGTGTGTGAGAGTGTGTGGGTGTGTGGGTGCACGCGTGCGTTTGCGCACATATACATAACAGACGTACACGCGCTATAAAATGTACGCAGAAATCCATACCATCAGACTAATATGTAATCTGACTTTGCAGCTTCTCAAACAAATAGCAGTAGCCAGAACTGGAGAAAAGTATCAAGTAGGTGAGATAATTCATCCTGCTTAAAGAAAAAGAAATCAAAATTATGCTGTACCAGTGTTACAAGTCCTAAAAATTATTTATTTGTTACCATCAACAGTTAATTTGCACCCAAATTCATGAGGACTTATCCTCTCATATTAATTTCATATGGGGCTGGACTGGCCTTTTTATTTTAAATTCACCCTATTCTCATTCCAATTGCAAAAGAGCCAACTGATTTTTTTGATAACTTTAGCAAATCTCGGCTTTTTTCACAAACTCCACTCCATGAGAAGCATAATCACTTTACCTCATGTCTTTGTAGCAGGTTATCAGAGGCATAATGACCAGGGTCTGTGCCCTGAGTCGCGGTGGCAGGAGGGTTCGGCCTGGCAGTAGCAGTGGTGGCAGGAGCTGCCATTCATGTGTTCCTCTAAGTGGGTGCCTGGAGCTGATGCTCTGGTCACCTGCCCCTCATTATACTGCT